ACCAACCCATGCGCGGCGTACACCTGGCTCCCCGACACGCGCAGCACAGCGCCCCCCGACGCAACCACGCGCGCACTCGCGTACAACGCATATTCGCCACCGAACACAGCCGTGTCCAGCGCGACACCGCCACCGAAAGCTCCAGCACTGAGCCATCCACCACCACCGTCCGCCCACCAGTCATCACGGTCACGAGGGCCACGCCAGACACAACCAGCACGGACCGCACGAGCCGCAGGCCCGACAGCACCAGCACCGGTGCGTACGGCGAGGACTGCGAGCCGGGAAGATACACAAGCGGCGTCGGCCTCGCGGCAACCAGCAGGGAGTCGGTCACCGTCAGCACAGACCCCGCGGGGAACGTGCCGGTCAGCACAAGCGCACCGTTCAGCGCCTCCACATCGCACACCGACAGCTCCACCGGCCCGCTCTCGTCGCTCCCCGCCGCACCCGCACCGCGCAACGCTCCACCGCCCATCACGTACAGCACGGCGCCGTTTAGCAGCGACACATTCTGCACAACAATCCGCACGCCGTCCCGCGCCATCCACGGCACGTAGAGCACCGGACTCACGCCGTCCAGCACAACGTGGCGCAGCGTTACCTCGCTCGCGCCGGCAGGCACAACGAACACCGACCGCACCGTCACGCCCTCGCGGACAAACACACTCGACGCAGTGCCCACAGCGGGCGGCAGCGCGGGAGCACCCACAGGCACGCACGCCTCGCCGTATCCGCCGCTGCCGCAATCGCACACGCACACACCGTTCCTCATGCTCGCCGACGCCGTCCCGGGCGCGTAGCAGTGCGTGTCCCTGTCGCAGGTGTCGCACCCAACAACGTCGATGCTCCCAGCGTCGCCAAAACCAGCCGCTGCGTACTCCTCCACCGTCGACAGGACACGGCCACCAGCGTCGTTGCACGCGACTTTCAAATGCGCCCCAGCCGAGAGCGACAGGCTTACCGACAGCATCCGCGGCAGCAGCGCTCGGTTGCGCACAAAGCTCAGAGTGCTCCCAGCAGCGGTCACAGCGCCAGCGGCGTAGAGCATCTCCCTCGAAACGCCGTCGTGCACGTTGCCCTTCGCCAGCAGCATCGACCCGCCAGCCAGGCTCACCGTCGAATAAAACGCCACCGCGTAGTCCTCCGTCGTCAAAAAGTCGCTCCGCACAAGCGCCACAGCGGAGCCCGACACGCTCACAGCCCCACGCACAGACACCGCGTGCTTGCACAGCAGGAAGTCGTTGTCAACAAACGCCACCACGGAGCCGCCACTGGCAGCAACACCGCCCTCCACCGACACGCACAGCCCCAGCGCCGTCTGCACCGACAGCCCGTCCACGTACAGTGCACCGCGCGACGACAGCACCACGCCGCCAACCACCAGCACGCCAACAGCGTCGCGGAACACCGCCACCACATGCGTGCGCGCGATATTCAGCACGCTCCCCGTCAGATTCACGTTGTGCAGCACAAGGCACGCGGACGCGTCGCCAAGGCCGTAGGTACCGCGGTACGCAACACGCCTCTCTGCAATCAGCACCGAGTCCACCACAGTGACGCGCGAGCCCGGCGGAAATCGGTTCGACACCACCACACCGCCGCCGGAGCGCGACTCAAGCCCGCTGATCAACACATCGGCGCGCTCGCCAGCAGACAGGTCGGATCGCCACCCAACAACGTACAGGCTCGCTCCGTCCACAAACGTGCAGTTCGCCAGCGTCACGTTGCGCACGCTCCCTGACATCAACTCCACGTCCACCACGACGTCCGCCGCAAAGGTCACACCAACGTGGCACAACACCGACGTCCCGACACCGGCATTCACCTCCACATACACACGCACGTCCCGCAAGCACAAGTCGGCGCCGTCGTTGCTCGGTGGCTCGGGGACAGCGACGGGCAGGCACGCATCGCCGTGGCCGCCCTCAGCGCATGCGCAGGCGCAGCCATCACTCGAGGCAGTCGTCGTGTACGCGGGGAAGCACGATGCCACGAGAGCGCATGGGTCGCTGCAGGTCAGGATGGTGGCATTGTACACAGACGGGATGCTGTAGTACGCCTCCCCGCCGTTCACGGTGTTGCACGCAGCCACAATCGCTCCGTTTGTGAGATCGCGGGACCTTTTGGGTATCCGCAGCACTGTTGGCGCGCCAGTGCTGGACATGAATTGGTTGCCGGACACAGACACCGCGGAGTTGCGGAGATTCACCGTGGGGTTCAGAAAGAGGAAGGCATCCGATGGGGATTCACGGCAGAGGTTGCCGCTCAGCTGCAGCCAGGAGTTGTAGTAGATGTAGGAAGAGTAGCTTGAAAAAAATACAACCGAGCTTCTCTTCATGTCGTTGCCCTGAAACACAACCGCTGACCGAGACTCCACACGTAACGCCAAAATTACTAACAAAAAGTGCCTCACCGGCCTCGCCACAACGTTGCCTCGGATCACCACGGCAGAGTTGTTCAGCACCTTCAGCGATGAAAATTGGCCAGACCCTTCAATATTTATCAGCGTACTGTCACCGCCAGCCATATGAAACGTGTTGCCCACCACCGCAAACACGGAGTGCCACGACACCCTCAGCGGAGATCCGACAACGTAAACGGCGCTTGCCGATGCCGTCACGCTCTGAAACACATTGCCACTCAGCACCACCGCGGAATCTTTGCTGATCGCCAGTCCATTCATCGCAACACACGACGGCCTCCTAATGCCCAAACCCGACCGAGAGATCAGCCTCGTGACCGTGAAGCGGTTCCCGCTGATCGTGATGTTCGTGTGCGGTGGAAACACACCCTCCGGGCTGAGCAGTGCGTCACTAAATGTGTTGCCGGTGACGACGATGTTCAGAGACCCCACAGCGGCGTGCGCGTTGCCCAACAGCAGCAGCACGGCGCCGTCCCTCCACGTGCATCCATCGAACCTGACATTCGCCATGTCGCCCGTCATCGCCCCAATCAGCACCGTCAGGCTCATGCCGCCCCCGCTGAACGTCACGTTGCGGTAGCACAGCCACGACAGCCCACTACCCACTGCCTGCGCAGCCTCGGGGTATACCATGTCGCTGATGCACTCGCCAATCGGCGGCGGTGGCGGCGTGGGTGTTGGTGGCAGTGGCGTGGGCGGTGGCGGGCCAGCAGGCACAGGCGCCGGGACGCACACATCGCCGTGCCCTCCAGCAGCGCACCGGCACTTGCAGTCGCTGACCGCCGTCGTCAGCGGAGCAAAGCAGTCGCCCTCCTTCGTGCACTCCCCGCACGCGGTAACCGTCGTCACGTTGGTGATGCCGTGGAGCTCCAGTTCAGCCGCCGTCGTCACCACACGTCCCGCGACCGTCAGACACCCAGCAACAAACCGGTAGCCGGCGTCAGCCCGAGATAACAGGGACACCGACAACCCCGTCGAGCCCATCTTGCAGCCCGTCAGCGTCACCACACTGCTGCCGTCAATGCTCCCAAAAGCGGACACAGTGTCGTAGAACATCGCACCCACCTCCACTTCGTTGTCGCGCCAATCCAGCCAGCTTGACCGCTGAACAGTCCACATGTCATTGTTATAGATGGCGTAGCGAGCTGAGCCGCTGTTCCCCACCACGCGCAACACGCTGTGATCCGACACGTTGAATACTTGTCGCTGATAAAGCAGGCTTACCCCGGAGAACATCGTATTGTTGAGAAGCGCAAAAACAGAGTGATTGCGGACACTGAGACTGTACACGTAGAACAGGTATTTGTATCCATCAAAGCTGCAGTAACGCGCGAACAGCGAGCTGCCACCCACCAGCGTCAGCGTCCCTGTCGAGTACACAACGAACGCATCACGCCTCGTCGCATGCGCCTTGATGTTGCTGATCAACAGTGTCGACGCACTCAACACGACGTCCTTCAGCATCACGACGCTCAACGTGTTCATCCTAGTGTCCGGCAGTTCAACCGCGAAGGTCTGCACCGCGTCAACCTCCGTGACGGCGATGTCGCAGTGCTGCGGGAGGGCACGTACAAAAGCAACGGTGGAGGAACGCATCACCGTCTGGCTCACGCGGATCAGGACGCCAGATGACTCGGTCGCCTCAGCACCCCCAAAAAACTGCAGCGCGGCACCCTCACGAAATGTGCACCCAGTGAGCGTAATGTTGATGGGGAGGTGCAGCGGCATACTGTTGAGGAAAAACTTCGGTACAGCACCCACGCCGCTGAATGTCACGCACACGTAGCAGTGGTGCGTCTTCCACATGTTCAGCGTAACGTTCGTCAGCGTCTGGTTCACCATGCAGCTCGTGTCGCCGTCGACGGCTCTCTCCGCCACGGGCGGCACAACCGCGTCGGGCACCTCGAAGGGAAGACACGACGCGCCATGCCATCCGTCCTTGCAGCTGCACGAGCACAAGCTGCGGTCCACCAACTCCGTCCCAGGCATGTAGCACGCCGCATCTTCGTTGCATGTGCCACACCTGAAGACTTCCACCTTCTCCGGAAACACATCGTCGTACAACACCTCCTCATCGCCCTGCAGGTTGCACCCAACGACAAACCGCGCGGGTAACTCAACAATCGTGTCTGGCGGAGAAAAATCAGCGAAGGGATAACTATTGTCCACCTGACGGTTATATGCAAGCGCCACGGTGGTGCCGCTGCCCGATAACCTAATTTTTTGCAAGGAATGCGGAATAATTAATACTGAGGCTGCACCTACGCTGTTGCCCTCCACACGCCACTGCGCACCTCCCTCGAGGGTCACCGAGCCAGACAAATACACCAGCGCGGGATCAAAAAATTCAGTCCCGCCAGCGAAGGTGCAGTCCGCCACTCGCAGCAGCCCCGCGGAGCTCACAGTAGTATCCCCAAAAAGAATAACGCCATTGACCGAGCTCATCGTGTTGTTCTCCACGTCAAAGTAGCCGCCGTTCTTCACTCCAACGGCATTAACGCAAACAGATGATTCCACACTGTCATCGTCCTCCGTTGTCCTCAGCGTATTTCCCTTCACAATGATCCCGCCACCATCAACAACACCATTGAAAAAATAGACTGCGTACCTATCCGCCTCAATGTAGTTGTCAAGTAGCAGCAGCGTCATATTCGCACTGAGAGTAAACTTCACAAAGGAAATGGCGTGGCTCGACGTCGTCACAAGCGTACAGCCCACCACCAGTATCTGGGAGCTCGCGCCAAAATCACCCTGAAACACCAACTCACCAGAATCCAGCATCGAAGAAGTCACGTCCACGTGCACACGCGCACCACTCCCCCTGATCAACAGGCCCACGAGGACGCACTGCAGCAGCGTGATGTTCAGTGTATGCTGTGGCGCGTCAAAATACGACAGGTCCAGCACAATCGCGGCGGTAAAGGTCACGTTGACGAAGCACAGACCACGCACACCGGGATCAGGAACGTACACGGAGCTGATGCTGCCACCGTGCACGCAGCGGACCTCCGTGTCCTTCGCATTGGGGAGCGGAAGCGGCCCAAGACCGTCCGGAACCGCAGCCGGCAGACACGTGTCACCGTAGCCGCCAGCAGCGCACACACACTCACAGCCGCTGATGCTGCTCGTCCTCGCTGCAAAGCACACGGCGTCCACGGTGCACACCCCACAGTCCAACACCGTCACGGGCGTCCAAATATTGAGGTCGTCTTGGTAATCCGTCACAGGAGAGCCCATTGCCTCGTTGCACACACCGTAGATGGTCGGGCGCGTGTCGGATGGTGGTGACCACTTGGTTGTCATACAGGTAAAGGTCGAGTACGAGCCATAGGTGAAGTTGTTGTCAAGTATCGACCACACACTCTGATCGCGGAACGCCACGCTGTAGTGGGCAGCCACGTACACAACGTAGGCGGTGCGGAACTCGTTGTTGCGGTGCACCAGCCAGCTGCCGTCAGTCACGGTCAACGCGGCTGCCATCAGCATGGCGAAGCCGAGAAGGAAAGTGCTGGACACAATCTGCATCACGCTGCCGCCATCCACAACAACATCCTTGAACACACACGCGCCTTTGTCGTATTCGGTGCTCGGCGCAATCCACGAGCTGTTCTGTATGGAGAACACGGAGCCGCTACCAACACGCAGGTACGACGCAAGAGCGTACATCACGTGCGTCCGCGACCTAATAACGCAGTTGTCCATGTAGAAGACGCTGGACAGGTTCACGCCAAGGCCGCGCTCCACGAGGATCGCAGCGCACGAACCCCCGCCACATACCAGCGTCGACCGCGTCATGACAAAACACGTCGACAGAAGCCGGACACCGTCCAGGACAAGCGCGGGGCCGTGCCGGGATCCCGCATGGCCACGGGTCGTCGGCACGTACTGCGACCCGCCAACCGTCGCGCGCAGCGTTGAGTTCGCCAGCAGCACACTCGAGTGCAGCGGCATCGCGCCATGCAGCACAATCGTGCCCTCCAGTGAAGTCACGTTCGTCATGTTGACGAAAGCGTGCGGCATCAGGCGCGCCGTGCTCTCGCTGAGGCCGCCAATCCGCAGCTGCGCACCGCCCGCAAGCACGCAGTCGCACAGCGTCACGTTCAGCGCGTCAGCAAACGTATCCATCAAGCGCAGGTCCACCGTCACAGTGATCGGTCCGCTGAAAACCACCGAGTCGAAGCACGCCGTCGCCCGCCCGCCGTCAACCGTCACGGACTCCGTCAGCGTCACGCCACTCACGCAGTCTCCCGCACCGCCACTGGCCCTCGCAGGCGGCACGTCGAACGGCAGGCACGCCTCGCCCACGCCGCCGGCACGGCAGCCGCACACGCAGTCGGAGAACGAAGCAGTCAGCGCATCGAAGCACGCCAGCGCAGCCGCACAGCCGTCGCACGGCACCACGCTCACGGAGGGCAGGCCGGCCATGCGGTAGTCGCCGCTGCTCTGCAGCACCCGGCCGCCAGCACGGTTGCACTGCACCGACACGACGCCGCTCGTGATCGTCAGCCCGGAGACAAGCGTCGCGCCGGTGGCAGCGCAGCGCGCAATCGACACGGTGCCGCCGCTCAGCGTCACCCCCGACAGCGACGCCACCGACGACGCCTCGTCCACCGCCCACACGTCGCGCAGGTCCAGCCACCCGCCGACACCGATCGTCCCACCGTCGCAGCGCACCAGCGACGACGCAACAGACCCCTCGACGCGCACGAAGCGCAGCACCGAATCAAGCACCGCAAGGCGCTCTCCAAGCACAATGCCGCCGCCGCTGCTCACAACCGACACGTTCGTCACGGAGAACACCGAGTGGCTCCGCAAACTAACACGCGACGAGGACGCCACATGCATCGCGGAAGCGGTCGGACCGCCCGACGCCTCCAGCGACACGCCGTCAAGCACCACCGCGCTCGACAGCAGGTCCACACCGCCGCCAACGTACAGCGCCGACCCGCCCGCCTGCGACGACCTCAGCACAGTGTTGCTCACACGCAGCTGCGTCTGCAACAGCGACGTCGCGTGCAGCACAAGCGGCGACGCTACCGCGTCCGTCAGCCCGCTCAGCTGCGAGTAGCGCATCGGCCCCGGCGTCACAATCGTCGAGTCACGGACCGTCACGTTCGTGTGTGCCGGCAGGTTGTCCACAAACACAAGCGAGCAGTAGCTCCCAGACAGCCCGCTCACGCTCACCTCCAGGCTCCGGTCAGTCGCCGGCTCGCCGCTGTAGCCCCGCACGTAGAGCTGCGCGCCGCCGTCGCACACGCAGTTCCTCAATTCGATGCGCAGCGCACCGGGAAGCATCGCCGCAACGTCGAACACCACAGCCACGCCGTTCGTGATGTACACGCCGTCCATCAGCAGCGTGTCCACGGCGCGGCCAACCGTGATGGCTCTGTCCACCGTGCCGCCCCGCAGTCGCAACACCACCGCATGCACCGCGGGCATCCATGCCGCCGCAACCAGCACCAACACCACAAGCAGCGCCACACGCACAGCCGCAATGGCCCTGCGCCGCACACGGTGCCGGCTGCGCGGACACGCACCCACCGCAGACTGCATCCACCAAACCAGACACGTATCAGCAGGGCTCTCGTGGTGTGTCGCACTCGCCCCGTCGACAATAACTCCTGTCTATCAAATCCCTTTCTACAGATGGCGAATCCAGTGACACGATTCCGCCAGATCGTTATAATAATACTGCTAATCCTAATACTGCAATTAATCCCTAACACCTTGAAACGATAGTTGTGCTGGTAAAGCAAAAGTATCTCTAACTGCACGCTCAAAAAAGGAATAAAAGAATAAAAGGCAGCAACAACAGTATCCAAACACAGTGGCACGCAGAGGCATCCGGTCATACACAATCCCCACCACAGTACAGCCGCCGAAACAAGGCCGCGCAGACGCAATAAAGCCAGTGACACCATCGCCCCCCCACCACCCACACAACCCCACACAGCCACCGCGCGTCGTGGCGTGGATACAGACTGGTGGCGGTGAACCAGTCCTTCGCTCACCCCTAGCAGGACAGAGAGCAGCGGGATTGGCTAACAACTCTCTCCGTGCGGCATGTGTCCTTCCCGTGTTTGCAGATGAGAGTGGTGTCCCCGTTTTCCAGGAAATTCGCAGGCCGCCGTCAGTGAGGGAGGTGCTGATCATCGTTCTGTGCGAGGAGCGGGCAGCGGGCAGCGGGTGCAAGATGGCGCAGAAACACATTCAATGCGCCGCCGGGGCCAGGGGCCAAGCAAGGCAAACAGTGGCGGATGGTGAAGTCAAGCGCATACGGCGTGAAGGACCCATCCATATCACAGTCACCAGAGAGCACGCGAGCACAAAGTGTGCAGACAGCGCTGGGGATCGCAGCAAGTGCGACTCGGACAGTGTGACAGACAAGCAAATTTGCCTGCTGCCAGGACAGAGCACAAACGCGGTCCCAACAGTACCGCAGCACGGCCGATCCCAGAGGGCGGGGACGTGGTGCCTCCATTCCTCGCGGCATCACAGGCCTGGGCTCGAGAGGGCACCAAGCCCTTTCGCACGGACCACAAGCAGCATGGAGAAGCTACGGCAGAGGGCATGATTGCGGTACTCCCGTTTGCGGACATCTTCAGCTGGAGGCAGCCTGCCTCCCGGTGAGGCTGTGTGCGCGTTCCATGCTGCCGCTGCAACACACTCGGCCTGCTCCACTCTGACCGTCCAGGTTCACAGTGGCTGTCACGGCTGCCGCGCGGAATGGTACGCCTTGCTGCTCGCACAGTGCATATCCAACCATGTGGTCACAGCTGCCAGAAGCGTTGCACACACCGAGGTGGAAGCATTCCAGTCGACTTCACGCAGGACAACGACGGCATGTTTCCGTCGTGGCAGCATGCCTGCCGGTCGCGGGATGCCGTCCTCCGTTACTGCAGTATACAATGGCAGATGGTGGTCCGAGTCCATGCAAAGGGGTGGATGTCCAGTGGGAGACACGCAGTACGCGTTGCGCAGTCACGTCGGGAAACGAGACGCTGCGGCCGCTAATCCGCGTTGCCTGTGCCGGGTCGTCGGACAGCTCACACTCCATGCCGCTTGGGGTGGCGGCGAGGTTCTCTCCTGCCGTCGTTGACGTAAGCGACCGTCACGCAGCTCATGGTGTGAATTCGGGTCGCCCGCAATAGGCGCTGCAGGACCAAGGCGACAAATGGTGCTCGCAAATTGAGCAGCGTGAGCGATTGCCAGAAAAAGGCTGCAGAGGTTCACCACGTACATGCTGGGGCTGGCCGATGGGCACATGCGGAAGGCAGTGGTCTCCAGGCAGTTGTTGCCAGCAGCTAGGAGCGCTCGCACAGCAAGGCGTGGCGCACCAAGAAGGCACGCCACCAGCACGACCACTGCAGGCCTGGTGGAAGTCACTGCAGCCAACGCGCCGCGTCGCTGGGGCGCCCTGGTGCCTGCACTCCTGCAGAAGAGCGGTTTCAGTCTGGTGCTGCGCCAGTCGAGCAGCAAGGGCAATCCTGAAGGGCGAAGGGCTGGAAGTTCCGAGCTGCCAGACAACTACGAGGCCATCCTCATCGGGGCTGCGGCTCCTGCGGACACCACCGCAGCGGGTGATGCTGACGGAGTGACCGCAATGAAACGACTGTGCGGTTCTGTCAGTTGAGCCGCAGGCAAACCGCCTCGCCACTCCACAGACAACAGAGCGTGGGACCTTCTCGAGGGGTGACGCCGCCGTGGTCCCCATCACGCTCGCAGCAATGCCCTGCCGCAATCACCCCCGCAGAGAGACAATAAAAATGTGTGGATGTGTGTCGAGAGCACAACAACTGTTATCGCCAGAGGAGGCCATCGTGGCACCGTCCGTCACGCGCCAGCACACACCGAGCAACGCCCGCACCCGGAAGAGCAAAACCAAAGAGGAGAAAAGAATGACCCCAAGAGCAGGCAGCATTTTCACACATGGCGGGCATCGTGCAGCCGCGTCAGCCGGCCTCCAGCGAAATAGAAAGAGCATTCCTGCAGTGCACTGTGCAAATACTTATGTGTGCTGGAGGAGCAGAAGAGAAGAGGAGCACAGGGAGGCACATCAGCACAGCAAGAGGCACAGCTGGATGGCAGCGATACATGCGGCACGGCCCCAACCTCAACAATCACGCACGGTGGCAGCGCACACAAAAAGAAAAGAAAACAAAACAAAAAACACGGCGGCAGGGTGTGGCTGTGTGTGTGTGGCGCTGCGGGTGTCTGCCCGCCCTGGCCGCAAAAAACAAAACAAGAGGGAAAGAAATGTGTGCTCCGCCCCACCGGCCCTCGTCGTACGCCCACACGTCACGGCTCCCTCAGCGCGCCGTTCGTCGCGGCCCCTCCTCATGCGTGCAGCAGGCGAGGCGCACAGGGCCGTCGTCATGAGCGTGTCGGTGGGTGTGCGAGTGGAGCAGTTGGGCGGGGAACACACGGCACCCCTCACAGGAAGAGTGCAGCAAGAAACAATTAAAAGAGTGGAAAAGAAAAAACGCCCATAGTGATTACCCCCAAAAGCAAAAGAATGAAAAAGGATAAAAAATAAAAAAACAAAAGAATGTAATAAAAAGAAATACTCGCACAACACAATAAAGAAAAATAGTAGAAAAAGCAAAACCAGAAAAAGCATAACAAAAAACTTAAAAACGCGCAACAAAGCAAACAGGGGGGAAAGCAATGTTATTTAGGAAGAGAAATTCATTGCCAGGTGTGTGTGTGTTGATGCAGGGGAGGTCGCAAGTGTCCCACGCGGCTGCCAGTCACTCCTCAGTGCCGCAAACCCCCACAGTCCCAACGGCAGAAGAAACAGCGATGGCACCATTCCGCTCTCACGCATGGTGCCAGCGTCGGTGTTATTCCCCTGCGACAAATTTCCAAGGCTGCTGCTGAGTGTCGTAGCATTGACTTCCTTGTCCTGTGCATGGATCCCCTGGCCATTCGTTCTTCCCGCCGTCTCCCCATTCGCACCACTGCTCCCCATCAACGATTCCTGTTTTGTCTGATGTGATCCGCCAGGAGTAGACTGAATCGCTGTACCGGCAATAGGCGTATTCACCGGAGATGGAATAGGGGGTTTATTCGGCTTTAGCGCAGTAATCTCCGAGAAAGTCAACGGGCGGTTGTACAGCAGGACGTTCGTCACCGTCACAGACACGCCTTCTTGGCCTCTTTTGTTGTCTGCGCTGCCTCCATCTCCTCCAATGTAGAAGTGTGAGATTCCTTTCGAATCCTTATTTTCCAATGCGCATGGCGCTTCTCCCACACGCTGACCATCGACGTACGCAGAGCCATGGGTGCCGTTCTGTAGCATAAGCACCAGCTGGTGTGTTGTGCCTGGCTCCCAACCGCGGCTGTGCTCCGTCGTCGGTTCTCCATCGCACAGCAATTCCCACTTCTTCTCTTTTTTGTACGACAATTCCATAAGTTTGTCTTCACCGTCCAGACGCACACCCACCACTGGAATAGTACCATCCTGCGTCGGCACACCGTCGATGGACACCGTCGCCACAAGAGTGAAGTTGTGGTTCGCAAAGTGGTACAGCTGATTCTCCCCCTGCTCGCCAACGGGCCACTCCGCCCACGCTCCCTGGAACTTCACGCCCTTCTCTGAATCCACTGTGGCCGCTGCTGCACCGCCATCATTCACGTTTACTGTGGCGTTCACCCCGAGGTACTCGTCCCTCCATGTCTTATCAAAGAAGTTGCCGGACAAAAAGCCAACCAGCCCATCCGTCGGCATGGCAGCGCTGCAGGCATCGTCAGGTGAGGGACTCTTCTCAGGACTCCCAGAAGGGCACAGCTGGGAGACACGTTCGTCCACTTCCTTCCACGTCGCCAGCACCTCCTTCACCCGCTTCAGCTGCTCAGTCAGAAGCACAGAGACCATACCGAGTGATGATCTGCCATTGCCCCTCTTCTTCTCGTACAGTGCAATCAACTTCTCCTCATTATTATCTTTACCACTTTTGTACAACAGGGAGCTGGCGGTAATCTCTTCTTCATCTTCCTCGGATACCGGCCCAATATCAACAATGTGCGTGTTGTCCGTCAGCCAAAGACAGAGTTCACCGTTTTGATTATCTTCTCCGTTCCTACTCGAATACACTGGCAGAGTGACAAGCATCACGTCCCTGTCCTCAAACTTCGCTGTGATGGACCCGCTCTTAACGTCCCTCCCGCGTCTCTTACCTTCCTTTGGGCTGCCCCACACGCGCGAGAGTGTCCCGAGTGCCTCCGTCCACAAATCCCCCTTGTCGCCAGACTCGTACACCCTGCGGCGGCCATCATCACACACTGTCATCATCATGAGTTTGTCCTTCTCCCACTCCACAACGGAGGGATCACCGCAGCCACCGTCAGACATCCCCTTCGACAGTTTCCAAATTTTATTATCCCTCGAGGAATATAGGATCAGCGAAACTGTCATTCCATCATCTTCAGTGCCCCCATTCTCCTTCTTCTTGGCTTCCACTGGAAACACAAGCGTACCGTCACCCATCTTTACACCCGATCCACCGCCGCCAATCACGGAATTCAACGATTTGAGTTGTTCGTCATTGGAATCCCACGGGATAACGTAAATATCATTCCAAAAAATTCTGTTTTTACTGCCTTCACCACTGACGTTCCCCTTCACCAGCAAAAGTTCAAATGGAGTCGCCTCAGACGCAACCGCTTCACAATTACGGGCATTTTCATTTATGTAGATTCCAGCAAGCATGTAAATATCACTTCCCCTCACGACTGTTGTTGGTCGGAACACAAGTACTCCCGTCCCGCTTTGGGAAGCAGCCGCAACTACTGTTTGGGAGGGGCATTCCCCTCCGTCAGTAGAACATTCCTCCAGTACTTCCGTCTTCACCTGAGTTGTTTCCAGGGCTTTTGGTGTTCCATCACTCAACTTTAGGAGCTCCGAGGCAATGCCAGCAAATGTGTATTCACCCTTCTTGTACTGCGCCTCGGCAACGGCAAACACGTCACCCTTCATCTCAACAAGACTGGGAACACGAAGCAAACTCACCGTTTCTTCACCTTTCAAATCTCTCCAAACAAAACGTTTACCCTTTGAAGATTCCGGACATGACGCCGTCTCATCTTCCGCAGCTGCACCAGTGCCGCAGCACATCATCATAAAAAGGAGGAGCAGCACCGCAGAGCAGAAGAGATGCCGGGACATGTTGGGCCTCTGCGGCTCACTCCCTCTTCCTTCCCTCCTCCTTCCGCTGGATCCGGTCACGCGGCGACGGTTGTGTGTGCGGGGTGCCTTCACTGCAGCAACACGTGAGAGCATATAAATATGTGTGTGTGGGCGGTGTGTGTGCTGTTGTTGGTCCTTCAGTGCCCTCGAATTTCACAGTAGCGATTAGCGCTTGTTTTCCTTCCTCGTGTGATAGTGAGAGAAAAGTGACAAAGAATATGGATAGAAAAGGTGAAACAGTGAGCACCGTCACCCACCCACAGCGAGTGGCACCATCATCCCCACCGCAGTCACTCCCAACAGCAACAACTCACGCACACATACACACGGAAAGAAAAGGAAGAACAGTGCACCGGGAACACACAGCGGCTGCCACCACCAGCAGGAGTCACGGCGGGTGCGTAATTATTCGTCACACATCAGCACGCACTGACCAACGCCCACAAAAAAAAACAATCCGCAGGATCCAAAAGGATCCAACCGCCTTTCGCAGCACCTACGCGCTGCCGCCAGTCCGTTTGCTGCTGTCTCCTCCAGCGCACCCGCTCTGCTGCCGCACGTGCGGCACCACCCCGCACAGCCAGACAATAACGCACCAAATAATCCGCAGCTGGAGAGACACGCCGGCACGCTCAGCTGCTCGGCGGGAATCCATACACACTTATCCCAGGCACCCTCAATGCCACGTCACCCATGGGCAGCACTCCAAGAAAGTCACGCTCGCCGCACGGCAACAAAACAAGACGCGGTGTTGCGTCATTCCTCTTCCCAAGTGCCGCCACAGCCACAATCCTGTGCGTGCGTTCCCAGCGTTCACGCTGCTCCACAGCGTGTGCAACACGGTCTGAGTGTGTGTGCATGTGCCTTTGTGTTTGTCAGCGCCTACACTTGCGGAGCAGCTGTGCGGCACAAGAGAGTCAGAAGAAAGCAACGGCAGAGAGAGAAGCGGATAGCACACACGCAAATTCCTCATATCATCACACACAAACACACACACGCAGCCAGCGGAATGGGTGCTCTCAACCACAACACAAGCAAAACAAAAAAGAAAAAAAGAAGCGTGGGACGACCAGCACACACACTCTCATTGCTCCCGTAAAGCAAAACACACACACAGGGGGAGAGAGAGAGAGAAGGGTCGCCCACTCAATGCAATGGAAACAAAACAAAAACAGTTACGGTGGTGCGCCCATGCAGCCAGGCAGGACGGCAGCGGTGCGTGTGGTGCAAAAAAGAGCACCAACGGGCCTGCATGGGTGTGCATGCATATATACAATGGGCACATTATGTGTGTGCTTCGTGGGATGAGGTGAGGGCGAGAGTCCATGCAAGGGGACACACAGAGAAAGTGGGTGAAAGACGAGTGTGTGTGCGGGCGGTGCACGGCTCTCTCTCCCTCACTCTCACGCGGCCACCACCGCAGCAGCAGCCGCACACGCAACAACAAGAAGAAGAGGCAAAAGAGGGGAGGTGAAGTGGGAGACCGCGGTGCTGCCGTCAGTGTCGCCTGTATTTTCAGTGGCATTTCTCATGGCGATGGTAACATTTTCTGTTGAGGTTTCTTCTCCTGCTTGAACTTCCGTTGTTGGTGATGGTTCTTCGGAAGATGCTCGTGGAGTTGTTTGTGTTACTGGTGGGCTGCTGGTATTAGGCGTTGGGCTTGTAGTGGCTTTCAGACCGACGTCTCCCTTCTCCTTCTCCTTTTCAGTTGCATCCCCATCATCATCTGGACTTTTTGCTGCTTCTTGTGAAGTAGAGAAGTTTTTTTTTGCTTCGGATTCTGACCTCTCCCTTGGATGCTCGTTGGGCACTGCGGTCCCAGGAGACACTGTTTCCGAGTGCCGAACACTTTCTGGGGATTGCGTCTCCTGAACGGATGGTGCATCAAGAGCGGAAGATAAAGAAGTGCCACCTGCAGAGAGAGGAGTATCCGAAGAGTCACCTTGAGGACTGCCACCGCCTCCTCCACTAGTTCCACCACCGGAAAATAAACTGACAACAGAAGATGGATTGCCACTATCAGAAGCAGGAGTCTTCAAATCAACACCTCCACCCTCCTTAGAACCTTCAACAGAACTGCCAAAGGGTTGAGTTTCATCCGATACTTGTGGTGATGCTGCTTTTAGTGGTATTTGTGGTCCTACTGCTGGTAGTGGTGGGGTTGCTGGTAATTGCGGCGGTTTTACTGCTTGACCCGTATGTCCTGCATGTCCTGCTGCTGGATCTACTGGTTCTTCTTCACTTGTTAACAACTTATTTGCTGCCGTTGGTGGAGATGTGTTTCTTTTGGCTTCTATTGGGCCTTCGTGTTCCTTTGTTCCTTCTGAATCATCTTGCAATTTCTCTTTTCCATCTCTTTTTATTTCTTCATCTTTCACTTTTTTTCCTTTTGCTTTTTCTTCTTCTGCCTCCATCCTGTCATTATCTGTTGCTGGTTGTTTGACGGAACCTGTTTGAGGGCTGCCATTCTTACCGTCCTGCCCATTTAACAGTTCATTTGAGTTGTTCACTACTCCACCGATTGAATTTGTTATTTCCAGTTGTTCTGCATGACCGCCTTGAGATAAAGACTGTGAAGCCTTCGATGGTTGATCTTGTGGTTCAGTAATACCACTACCATCCCCGTCACATCTACCGCCGGCACCGCACCACAGCACGCAGAGGGCACACACCAGCAGCACACGGCCAGTCATCATCATCTGAAGTATCGTTGTTTAATAATGTGAAGTCGACCTGCAAAAGATCCAGAGGGCAAAAAGAGAGACACGGCCGCTACAACACACACACACAGCCCCCCCACAGCAACACACGACAGCAGCCCAGCAGCAGCAGTGCACAAACCATTAAAAAAATGAAAACAGTACACAGCCAAAACTCGCACAACTCCCTGCACACCAGAAGATTAAAAAAAAAAAAAAACTGGGCTCCGCTGCGCATGCAAACGAGTGTGCCTGAGACGCGTTCAACGCGGCGGATGTGGGGCACAACGCGGAGCACACAGCAGGGCAGCGGAAGCAAACAAAACAAAAAAAAACAATCATCATAATTGCTCTTACTTTATACATCGGACCACAGTAGACGTCCACATGTCCCCGCCGTTGAGTGCTGGTACGCACAACCTGCACATACACATCTTCAGCCCAGAGTGGTGTACGCCAGCGCGGATACGGCAAGCAGCAGCGGGCCACACACCCACGCAGAGCTGCTGAGGCTGCCGTCAGTTTCGCGAAGACGTGACGGTGCGCTGGTAGTCGTCGTGGTTGGCGCCTCCGTCGTAGTGGGTGCTCTTGTGGTCGTTGTTGTAGTTGTCGTGGTAGTCGTTTGTGGTGTCTGCGCCTTAGCCTCTTTTTAATTTTTTGACTCATCCGTAGCCTGCTCTAGATTGTTTACCAACGACTCGTGAGACTTATCCGTTGAACCTGGCGGATCGGTGTTCTCACCAACTGGCCCTGACTGACCAGGCATACCTGCTCCATCGTGCGTGTTGGAATGCCCACCTGATGCCTCTCCTGACCCATCTTCACTGCGCTTCCCGCTTCCCAGTACAGCACCAGGGCCCTTAACGGGATCCTGTCCCAAAACGGGATTTCCTTGCTCTTTTAGCTCAGGGGAGGATGAACTCAAGACGGTAGGTTTGTCATCATCACTCCCTGTGCCACACTCGGACGGACAGCAGCACAGGGCAAGCACCAACAGGGCGCACAGCAGACGGCACGTCATCATCATCGTGAGTGTGGTCGTTCAGTGGTGTGGAGCTGATCTGCACAGTGAGGGACATGGAGAGCAACAGGGGAGACGAGAGGTGCGGCAGACACACACAGAGGGCACACCACATGAGGAGAGGGCAGCAGCCAGGCATGCACCGTACGCCGCACACCACGCACGACACACACTCCAATCCACGGCAGCAGGCACACACACACAGCCCTGCCACAACACCAACACACACAGATGGAGGAGGGAGAAGCAAACAGGAGCGGCACACAAGGCTCCACCGCATGTGCATACGGCGAGAGCGGTCCGTCGTGTCGGCACCCCTCACGGAGGGTACGCACACGCACAAGAGAAGGTGCAGCGCACACAGCAACACAAAGGCAAAGTAACCGTAAAAAAGGGAATGATCCCCGCACACCACGTGGATTGTTGGTCCACGGGAAGTGCAGCCAACAATTCGGTTTGTGTTCTTCCTGCTTCTCGCCGTCAAAGTGTTGCAATAGACGTTTGTTTTCCCTTCCGTCGCTGTGGCACCTGATTCCTCACCGTTTATTGCGGTGGGAATGAAAATCTGTGAGTGGACTCCCACACACCAGGACGCACCTTCGCTCTTATTTATTGGTGCATGGGAGGGCATGTGTGTTTGGTGGCGTCTCGTCCATATATTCTTCTGGGTGTACATTCCCCTGCAGGCTGAGGGCGGGATGGCGCTCCGTTGCGGTGCACTTCCCTCGCATGCCGCCCACTGTGATTCATCATGCATCACCCTCTTTCACATATTCCGTGGTGCCACACCGTTGATATTATTGCAGCCGCTGTGGTTCCGCGTATTTCACGCATTTGATTGTGCCACAATACATCCGCTCGTGTGGCCGCCGCATCCAAACAGCGGTGCCCAACACCGTGAGCGGCAGTCCACATCCTTGCATGCCCCAACGCAGTGGTGTTTGACTGTCAGCCAGGCGACACACAACAAGAGAGTCTTGTGCTGGCAGTACAACACACGGAGCTGCAGTGAATGACTCGAGTGGAGACGCATCTACTTGTCGCAAAGCAGTGAAAAGGAGTCGGGCAAAATAATACCGGCTGCATTCACGACACCATATCCGCAGCCAAAGCATGCGACTTGATGTGTGTTTCACTGCTGCTGTGAAATGCCTGCAGACGACGTCACTAGTGGAGGCACACCACCCATGATCAGCGGACAGACAATAATCGGCATGGGAGGCCACAAGAGGCAGCAACGACGCCAGCAGCAGGAGCAGCTCTCTCCCTCTCTCTCTCTGTTGCCTCCAAGAAGTAAACATTCCACCAGCCACAGCTGACCGTGCCATCGTGACACTCCATGCACGTCGTGGCTGCGTCAACGCATCCTGTTCCCTGCAGCGCCTCAAAAGATGCCTCACTCCGTCCACTAAGTGCATCGATGTGGGCCGTGCCTCGGCTGTTCGTGAGGACCACAACGATGTGAGGGTCACCGAGTCGCAGCATGTTTGTTGTGACGTTGTTGCATGGCACCTGCACACACACACACACGCAGCGCCTGCATCCTCCCTGTTGTGTCCGCCCTCTGCCGGAGTGGCCACACACACGGGCAGCAGCAAAATCACTTCATCCTCGACGACACAAAATCAACACCGACATCCCTCGCGACGCAAAGATCTCGATTGCCAGCACGGGCTTCCTGCCGCCCTGCCATCGACGCTGAAACACGGCACAGTGCACGCACTTATTTTCCTCGTGTGCGGTCAGCCGTTTGCTTCACACATTCTTCGGTGGGCTGACGCCCATAAAAGCACGCCACAAAAGGCCACTGTGATCGCACAAGCTCTTGCGATAAGCGTCGGTGTGTGCATGGACCCGCTGCTCACACGTGCTGGCAGGCAGCCTGCAGCCGGTGCCCTCGTGCCAGTTCATCGGCTCCAGAATGGAAAGAGAAAGTGGCCTATTCCCCATGCACTTATTCCCACCAGCAGCACCAACACGCTGGTCGCCAGCCGTCATTCCTCAGCGCATCCATGAATGCCGAAAAGTGACGTGGAGCTGCCAGCCAGCAATGCCACAATCCCCGCACACATGTCGGCTCCACCAGAGAAGACACACAAATCACAAGCGACACCCCTCACATGTCATCCGAACACCATTCCGACACACCGCGACACGCCAAACAGAAGTATTCGTCACTCCATGCACCTCTCCACACAATCAAATATTCCACGCACCACGCACGGCAGCAGCTCACACGCACTCAGACAAGTGTTATTCGGATCAGTGTTATCCACGTGCTGCGGTGGGAAGTAAACAAAAGAGACGACCTGCCAAACCCCAAAAGAGTGCCACGACTGGCCGCGAGTCAATGGAACGCAGCCACTCAAATGAATTCGGTCATAATGCCCTCAACCTCCCGCATTCTCCCACTAAAGCCCCAAGAGACGCAAATCAAAGGCATCGTCAAATAAATTCGCTGTGCAACACCAAGTGACGCCGCAGTGCCTCCTGCTGTCATCCGGGGCCGTTGTGGACGCCTTCACGAGGACAGACACCCACCGGATATTCCAAACGGCGCTGTACACCTGCGACGCATCCGACGCTTTGAGGCGCACATGCCTAACTATCACCAGAGACGCCCACGCGACGTCGGACGCCCCACACAATCAACGACGCAAGTATACGCCAGAGTGACAACGAGACATCCGCTAGCAATCACACCGCAGGCATCATCACAAACAGCACCAGCAGCGCTGCAGTCAACTGTGGGGTGCCATGGACCAACTGACGCATGGCGTATTTGGAGGAAAGAGCGTGGCGGCTTTAGAAGGATACGAGTAGCTAACACTTCCTTAACAGGATGAAAACAATATGGAAACAATAAGAAAAATTCAGGCGTCCACAGTCAAAGCAAACCGCCGATCACAAAAGCGGAATGGACGCACTCAACCACAACACAAGTAAAACAATGAAAAAAACAAAAAAGAAAAAACGAAGCGTGGGACGACCAGCGCACACACTCTCATTGCTCCCGTAAAGCCCAACAGGGAGAGAGAGAGAGAGGTCGCCCACTCAATGCAACAAAAACAAAAAACAAAAAACAGTTACGGTGCTCCGCCCATGCAGCCAGGCAGGACGGCAGCGGTGCATGTGGTGCAAAAGAGAGCACCAACGGGCCTGCATGGGTGTGCATGCATATATACAATGGGCACATTATGTGTGTGCTTCGTGGGGTGAGGTGAGGGCGGGAGCCCATGCAAGGGGGCACACACAGAGAGTGAGAGAAGGACGAGTGTGTGTGCGGGCGGTGCACGGCGCTCTCTCCCTCACTCTCACGCGGCCACCACCGCAGCAGCAGCCGCACACGCAACAACAAGAAGAAGCAAAAGAGGGGAGGTGGTGTGGGAGACCGCGGTGCTGCTGTCACTGTCGCCTGTATTTGCGGTGGCATTTGTACGAATGGCGTTTTTATCTTTCGCGGATTCTTCGCCATTTTCCGCGGGGTGTTCGTGCTGTTGATGTTGTTGGAATTGTGCTTCATCACTTTGCTGCTGCTTTTCATGATCTTCTTCTTCCTCTTCCTCTTCTTCTTCTTGTCGTGTGTGTTCAGTGCCGGATGTCGTCCCTGCCGGTATTTCGGCTGGCGAGGAGTTGTGAGCCGCTGCTGCTGCAGACGTCTGATCTCCTGTTGAAGAGTCCCCTGTTGTGTTAGATGGATTACTGCCTGAGGACTCCGCCTTACCATCACTGCTGCCGGCTGAATGGTCAACAACAGGAGCAGCAGGAGGATCTGAAGGACCTTCAGGAGGAGCAGGAGGAGAAGGAGGACCAGGAGCGGGAACAGATGAACCAGAAGAAACGCCACCGGTGTCATGACCACCAGCAGAACCATCACCAGGAGAAACAGCAGGAGCAGCAGGAGCGGGAGGAGAAGCAAGAGAAGAACTAGAAGGAACGCTGCCGGTGGCATGATCATCAGTAGAACTTCCACTGCCACCACCACCAGAACCGCTTCCTCCACCGCCTCCACCACCAGAAGCCCCGGCAGCACCACCAGAACCTGTATTTGTATCTGAACCTGAATTATTTGTCTGCTGAGAAACATCTTCTCCATCGGAAGCTTCAACGGCAGTAATGGGCAGTACTGACCGCAAAGGCATCGTAATCGCAGTTTTATTACATCCGTCAGGCATGTGGGATCCATTCTCACCCAACACTCCCGACGCCATGCAGCCACCCAGTGCATTGGTGTCAACGTCCCTCGCATAAACACCGCCGGCAACGCACCACAGCACGCAGAGGGCACAAACCAGCAGCACACGGCCAGTCATCATCATCGCCATCACTCCCGTCACTTGCGTGCAGCCTTCAGCACAAACTAACTCCCCGTCAACGCAGAGCAAAAGGAGAGACAAGTCACACAGCCACGCACCGTCCCATCCAGCAATGAGAGTCACGCACAGTAATGAACGGCATTAGCGCTGCGCACAAGCCATTGGACAAATGTAGCCAGTAAAAATCCAAAACTCGCAAAACACTTAATGAAAAAAGAGATATTTAAAGAAACGAGCCCAAGGCTCCGCTGCGCATGCATAGGAGTGTGTCTGGGATGCGTTCAATGCGACGGATGTGGGGCACAACGCGGAGCACACAGCAGGGCAGCGGAAGCAAAGGAAGCAAAACACAATCATCATAATTACTGTTACTTTATACATCGGACCACAGTAGACGTACACACATGTCACCGCCGTTGAGTGCTGGCACGCACAGCCCGCATACACATCTTGAGCCCACAGCGGCGTACGCCAGCGCGGATGCGGCAAGCAGCAGCGGGGCACACACCCACGCAGAGCTGCTGAGGCTGCCGTCAATTTCGCGAAGATGTGACGGCCCTCGGGTGGTCGTCGTGGTTGGTGCTTCCGTAGATGTAATGATTGGTGCCTCTTTGGTTGTTGTTGTGGTAGTCGTCGTGGTTGGCGCCTCTGTATTCGTCGCCGTATTAGTTGGCGCATTTGTCGTGGTAGTAGTGGTCGTCGTATTTGCGGCAGTGGTCTCGCTCTCTGATACCTTCCTTACAGCAGTCAAACTTGTTGACTGCTGCGCATCGGATGTATCTGTCAGTTCTGGATTAATGGGCTTCTCTTTTCCTTTGTTTGCCGACTCAGTGACCCCATTAGGTGGCTGCTCCGGATTGGTAGTAATTTGTCCCACCGCCGTAACGGGCGCACCATCGTGTGTCTGTGGCGCACTGTGAGATTCTAGTGTCTGTTCCTTATCAGTCGTCGGATTGGACGTCTGACCCGCATTGTTCTGGCTTCCTCCCTTCAGATTATCGGGCGTCCCTGATGTCTGTTCCGTCTCGACTGATGCCTTTGGCGCAGGGGAGTGTCTGAACTTGCAACATCCTGATCCTCATCAACCGTTGTCACGCACACGGAAGGGAAGTAAAACAGAGCAACCACCAACAGGGCGCACAGCAGACGGCACATCATCATCGTGAGTGTGGTCGTTCAGTGGTGTGGAGCTGATCTGCACAGTGAGGGACATGGAGAGCAACAGGGGAGACGAGAGGTGCGGCAGACACACACACAGAGGGCAAACCATATGAGGAGAGGGCAGCAGCCAGGCATGCACCGTACGCCGCACACCACGCACGACAAACACTCCAATCCACGGCAGCAGGCACACACACACAGCCCTGCCGCAACACCAACACACAGACGGAGGAGGGAGAAGCAAACAGGAGCGGCACACAAGGCTCCACCGCATGTGCATACGGCGAGAGCGGTCCGTCGTGTCTGCACCCCTCACGGAGGGTACTCACAAGCACAAGAGGAGGTGCAGTGCACACAGCAACACAAAGGCAAAGTAACCGTAAAAAAGGGAATGATCCCCGCACACCACGTAAATTGTTGGTCCACAGGAAGTGCAGCCAATATTCATTACAAAGCAACTTCTTATCTTGTTTTAGTTGTATGCTGCTACAGTAAAGAGTGAGCAGCGCAAGGGCCGTCCGTACAAAAATGGCAAGTATTCCGTCTCATAGGGGCCGTTGTGCGGGCTGAGGCAGTCCTAAAAAGTAGCACGCCCAATTCCCAACGACGGGGCATTCCCACAGTGGATGATGCGGAGTCTCCCGTTTTCAGTGGGGATGGGGGATCAGCAGCCCGTGGCGTCTGTGATGAAGCGGCGCCGGAGGAGCCTGTTTCATATTGAGTACCCGCGGTTGTGCTTCCTGCGTGTTTGGTCTGCTGGCGTGCTTGGCACTTTCGGTGGAGACCTGTGCGCGAGGCGCCTGTTAGGAAGACGGTGGCGCCATTGCGGCATCCGCATGCGAGGCGTTCTTCGACCATTGGAACACCAGGATGAGCACGTCCGGCAAACGCCCTCATATTGTGGACGGACGAGCGCACTCTGCCGCAGATCGGGCAAAGCGACGTTGATCCGCTGCTCGTCATTCTACGAGGAGTTGCCGTCGGCACGCCAGGTGGAGGTTCCGGAGGCAGGAGCGGGTCGATCTCCTCGGTGAGGGAGGGACGGCGCTACCGACATAAAGGGCTGCCTGTAATCTGCAGGGCGTGCGCCATTCTACCGAAGAGTGGGCAGGAGTCGCATCGCAGTTGTGCGCAGAGCTGCGGGTCGTGGCACAACATTTGGCCGGACACAAGTAATAGAGTTTTCGCTATACCGACGAGCGCCTGTAGTGTGGTGTACGCGCCTTCTTCTTCCTCCTGGACTTCCTTCCAGCATAACCTCTCAACGGCGGCAAGGAAGTCCACGTGCCAGATTGGGATACCCCATTGTGGGGAGGGAACTTGCAACCGCGGCTTCTTCGACAGCGGCCTCATTGCATGGCACACCGCAGTGCGATGGGGAGAACATAAATTCTACAGAGTGACCTCGCCTCACCAAGAAAAGTAGCATAATCCAAATTTCTTCAGTAACGTAGTCTCGCACGGCCAATGGACCGGCGCGGTGTGCCTCAATTGCCGACAGGGACTCCGTAGCCACCAGGATTCGTGTGGGCGATTGGGATGTTTCCCAGACGAGGAGGCATGAAGTGTCTAAAGCCATTTTTAATGGCAAGGCACTCTGCTCTCTACGAGCATGCGAGCCTGCCAGCTGCTGCACGATGGACCTCCACAGGGAGATTATTTATCTTTGTGGGGCCGTATAATAGTGCAGCGGACCCGGATGCGAGTCCAGCGAGAGATGGAGAACCGTCCGTCCATGATTCAAAACTGTAATCCCATAGAAAGGAGTAAATGGAATCAAAAGCCGTGCGCGTGACATCATCAGACGCCTTGGACAAAAAGTGGCTGATAAAATATCACTTTATTACAACTCACGGTGTTCCAGGGAATAATTCGGTGTTGGGTAAGAGGAGCACGATTGTGGTTGTGGGGCATCCCAATAATGTTACTGACGCATTGTAATTCATCAATAACAGCATCTCTCGGGAGCGAAATTGATGTCGCCGCTTTATTATGCATGGACGGCGGCATACATTCCGAGTAGATAAGGGAACGCAAATCCTCATAATCATGGAGGCCTACATAGCGTTCGTATTGTGTGAGCGCACAAGGCCAGAGTGTCTTCCGGAGCGGGAGAGGATTAGCCTTCAAATATACCGATGTATTCCCCGTTGATATGATAAGGCCAAGGGATGTTTTACAACTTTTGCGATACCGTAATTCCATATTATGGAGGTAGGTGGGGGCAAGGCATGGGACAATTGCATCGCCAGAATACAGTGACACGCTATGAACGTATCCAATCAAAAAGGATTGCATGGTATGATGAGACGCAACAGCCCGTGCAACCAGCCGCAGCTGATAGCAGCGTAGCTTGATTTCATTTGAAGCGGTGGAAGCGTGCGTAATCAAAATTAAGAAGTTGATCCATCGTTGTGTCCAGCAAGCGCACTGGGCGGGACTGAATGCGTAGTTTCCCATTGCCAAGATGGAGATTGACCATTTCATCGTCAGACCGTGTGTGTGAAGAGATGTGGAATAGAGCAGCTTCACTCTTATCAACGTTGATTTTGTGGTTGTGCTCAGCAGCCCATGCCGTTATAAGGGACAGGGCGGGTGGCATTGCCGCAGCACATGCATGGGTGCCCGCACCTGAGGCAACAACTGTGAGGTCGTCAGCGTACATGAGTGCGGAGGCAGAATAGATGTTGTCCATGCGGCGCAGCAGGTCATCCACACAGTGGAGGAATAATTGGGGTCGCAGGGCGCTGCCTTGCGGTCCTCCGGCTGGGGTGAGTTGTTTCCGGGAGTGCTGTTCGCGAGTGCATACCCTAACATAGCGGCCCCGCAGGTTGTTATGCAGCCAGCGTTTGGTTCGGGGGCCAAGGCATGAAAGTCTGTCGAGCATTCCGAATGATTTCCCATGGCCAACAGTGTCGAACGCAGTCGAAAAACCAATCGAGACTACGAGCGATGGCAACGAGGGTGTCGTGTGGAGGCGCCGCCTCCAGGGCGCGCATGCTCCACAATGCTAAACTCATTCAATCCACGGGTAATTTCACCAATAACAAGTGTCACCACGTCCGATGTAGAACGCGAAGGTGCAAGTCCAAATTGACGTGGGTGGTGCGGCAATAACGCTGACAGACGGCGGTGAATCATTCTTTCGGTTAACTTTGGTAAAACAGAGAGTAGCGTGATAGGTCTGTAGCTCTCTGGGCAGCATGGATCTTTCCCGGGTTGGGAAATGCGAATATTGTCCTCAATTTTCCAGGAGCCAGGCAGGCTGTCATTTGCAAAGGAGTTGTGGATCATCGTTCTAAGAGTGCCGCGCGCAACGAGCCCGAGATGGTGCAGGAATTCATTCAACTTGTTGTCGGGGCCAGCGGCCGAGCCGAGCAATGAGTCACGGATGGCCACGTCAAGTTCACACGGCGTGGAAGGCCGATCCATTTCCCAGTCACCAGGAGGCAAAGGAGTGCGGCGTGCAGCAGCAGCAGTATAAGGTGATGTGGCACGTGAAACCCGCAAAAAATGACGGACGAGTAGATTTGTCTGTTGCCGAGGCAGGGCGCAAACGCGGCCAAAATCAGTGCGGAGCACAACCGATTGCGGAGGATGAGGGTGCGGCGCCGCCATGGCGCGGAGATATCGCCAGCTTGGGATGGATGGGGCTCCAAGTTTTTTCGCACAGACCTCTAGCGGCATGGAGAAGCCACGGCGTAAGGCTTGATTTCTTTCCTCCTTTTTTCGGGCACATTCGGCTCAAAGTAGGCTGTCTCCAGGCGAGGCAATGTGCGCGCTTTGTGTGCCGCTTCTGCGACGACCTCGGCTTGCACCATTTCGTTTGTCCAGATCGTTTTGGGGCT